TTTTTTTTTTTCTCAGAGGAACGGTACGAAAAAAGTCTAAAAGCAAAGATTAAAAAGAAGGACGTTTACATTTCATTTTTTTTTCATACTTTCTTGTCTTACACAATTTTTAAGTGTTAAGTGTGTTGGATGCTGCGATTGTACACTTTGAATGCTTTGTTTGTCTGTTTGCTGATTTTATTTATTTTTTATTGCTGTTTTTATCACTGCTTACTGAAGTGTTAAAAAAAGTTTTTTCAACTTTTATTCTTGTATTATATGAATATCAATTTTAGGGATCTGTTGAACAAGTGAAGAAATATGTGGTTTGTAAGTTGAAGTATTAACGTCTTAAAATGATTGGCTGTGAAATGTTGCAACATTTGCAGCGATTCAGATACTTTTAAACTATTTTACTGACTGAGATTACTACTGGTAAAATCCATATATATATTTTTTAATTTAATCTGATCCGTTATCGTTAATACTTTTGTATTTTTATTGTTTCTATTGTTGCTTCGTCGTTGATCAGCTGTAATAATATTGTTCTGGCTTAATTAATATTAGCATTAATTAGTGCAGTGGCACTCAGCGATTGTTGCCTGATAAAAGAACGGCTGCGATATTTATGTGATCTGAGATTTCTGCTTATTCCAATCAATTTACCAGAGACACATTTAAACAACAACAATTCTGGCCGTTTGATACTATTTAGCCGTTCTTCTTCTCATTTTTCCTACTATTTGCCTTCGTTCCTTACGGTTAATAACAATTAGTGGCACGAAGTCGCGGACGGGCAAGAAAAAATTAAAAAGAAAGGGAAGAAAGAAAAAAGAAGTAAGGAAAGGAAAAATACTTTCTAAAGTTTTTTCTGGCAGTTATATATTTTTTAATTCTTCTAAAATTATTGCTGCTATTTCGACTAATCGTGATGTATTCCGAAGGAAAAATGCCTAAAACTTCGGGATTTGGTTCAATATTTGGGAGAAAAAAACGGATAAATGGTACTAAAGAGGTAGCTGATGACGTTAGAACGGCTGCGACTACTTTTATAAATCCAACGCAAACAAAACATCGAAACGGTTTCATTGCGACTAGTAATACTGGTGAATTTGTTGATACTGTGCCATTCAGGGATCCAAATATGCCAAAGGTACCTCTATTGAACGATGATGGTCTTGTAAGGCAATCTTCCAGTCGTGGAACTTCAGCAGCTAATCATGAAACTAGAAAAGAACAACGGAATTATAAACTTCTAAAATCCCCCAAAAGTACCAGATCGGGATCTGTACCACTGCAAATCAATTCACTTCCAGAACGGGGTAGACGGAATGAATATGCGCGGGATAAACGTCTTCAAGAGAAGTCTCAGTCTGCAAACGCTGTCTATATGGTTAAGCACGATCCGAATTACCTAATGGAGGCACTGGAGACACTAGCGGCGGAACAACCTCTAGTAGCTCGGTCGATTCCAAAACACGCGGTTATCGATACAAGTTATTATGCTAAGCACTCACTGGATAATTGCTTGTTTGATGAAGCCGTCTATCAGGCTATGCTCGATGATTCTGTAAAGGTCAGTCGTCTAAAAAGTATGTTATGGAAGTCGGCAAATAAAGTTTTAATGCCGACTGTTAGAGGTGTTGAAATTTTAGATATATGACTAGATTTAAGAATCACATGACCATTTTTTTCAAAAAGATACTGTATGAGGAAAATTTATGTTTTTTCTCAAGCTACAGTTTCATCATTAGTTTAAGTGTCATGCAGCTTAAAGTTTTGTTGGAAAATTGTCATATTTGCACACTTTTCTAGAAGAAGCCTGAAGAAGTAGTTAGGTCAGCATTAAAGAAACCAAAGACGAAGGCAATAATTAACAGGCAATAATTCGAATTATAGTTTCTTGCATTTCCACTTGATTTGAAAAAAATTTTTTTTTTTGTTCAAATGTTGTCTCTTATTTTGTTGTTAAATTCAAGGAGAGAAAAGACTCTGTTGATTTCTGGGAACAGGCTAAGCTTGGTTTGGTTTGATTGATGTGAGACAAAGAAAAAATTGATGAGAAATAAACGTTTTTCGTTGCCAGTTTTTTTATTTTTATCCTCATTTTCTCAAGGCAGGATATTTTTTTGTTTTTTTGCACGGGTCACAGCATTTTTAGAAACAGTGATCTGTGGCAGAAACAATTTTTTGACAGTGGACAGGTGTGAAAGCAATTTGAGTTTGGAACAAGTGCTGGAAACCAAATCCCTTGCTGGTTCGACTGTTTTCTTGCAAGCATCTTTTTCACTACTTAAATCTTTTCTTGACACTTCGCCTCCCTCCATACGGTCCATCTAAACTGCCACCTGACTATTCCGTAGAGCGTTCAGGCACTTGTGTGGAAGGTTGTAAAACGAAAACATTTTGGTTTACGTAAACCAGACTGAAAGTAGTACACCTGACGGCAACAGTTTAGTTTTCAAGTATTTCTGGAATTTATTTTCTTTTTACTTAATCAAATAAATTTATTGCTTCTATGTTTTTTCATCGCCACAAAAAAAAAAAGTATGGAAAATGAAATTGGATCAGAATAGTGTGAAAGGTGTCGATAACTAAAAGAACTTTTTTTTTGTGCCACAAATGTAGCAATCCGTATAGTGAGAGGTGGAAGAAATAAATAAAGCTAATGCTGTTTGATATGTACAAAGTTAAGGTTTAAGGGCAAAAAAAAACATATTTTTCTTCCCCTAATCTTTGCGTTCTTTGAAAAATAGCAATTGAAAAGCGAAAGAAAAAAAAAAAAAAGAGGAAAGCAAGTGACTATCACATCATCTTAAAAAAGTTTAAATATTTGGGTGTTAGAATCTTCTTCATCCTCTCTCTTCCGTTTCTTCTAGTTTTAGAACCTTTTTTCTATGGCTTTGTCATCAACGGTACATTTATCAATATTGACACATAATTCAGCACTGAACTTTTATAATAACAGCAGAAGTAAAAAAAAATATATATATACATGCCTCATCTTTATCCCTCTTCCCATTGGCTTACATTTTTCGTCCTCATTTCAACACTACAAATTAGCTACGATGTTCGCAGAGAGCATAAGGACGATGATCTTTGATCTATAGGCTTGTTTTTTTCCGCTTCAAAATGCCTAGCTAAAAAATAAAAAATAGAAAATAAACAAAAAAACGAAAAAAATACGAAATAAAGAATAAAGGACTAAAAAACTGCTTAATAAACAGCCGCAATGTACCTGTCATCTGCTTGCTGTCCTCGTTGAGGCCGCATTATACTCGAAAAGAGTAATTTACTTGAAATGTTTTGAACAGAAACGGAACGGCTTTTTCGTATATATATATATATTTTTTTTTCATTTTTTTTAATTTTTTTTTATTTTCTGGAAATAAGTAATATTTTTGGAGCCAGAATTATAAAATGGGAAGGAGGAAGAGGGACTGAAAAAAATCTCGGAAATTTGGCCGCAACATTCAATTGTCTTAAAAGTTTGTTAAGGTTTCCGTTGCAACGGGGTGGCAATTCAGCAAAGAAGATTGTTTGAATATTCTCTCGAAACATTTGCCATAATTATTTAAATTTTCACTTTTTTTTTTTTATTTAGTGTATCATCTTTTTTCTTCAAAACAATGTTGCTTTTGTTAGACAGGAAGTGATCAATCAAGACTCGGAACAGCAGTAAGTAGGATTGGCAAGTATTTGCTGTTTTTCAAGATATTTTTTTTCTACTTTAAGTGTCAGTTTAAAACTGTAAAAAAACATTGTTCTTTTTTTTTTTTCTTTTGCGGAAGAAGCAAATGTTTTGCTGCAAATCCTAATCCAATTTATTGTGCCCATTACGAATCACAATGGATTTGTTTTTGCTACTTCACTTTATTCGTTTAGTTTACTTCCTTTATTTCTTTATTCATCTACATATAAGTTTTTCTTGTTTTTTTTTAAAAATACTTCATAATATTAGAAAAATTGATTGTTTTTGACAGAAAGAAGACACTTTGAAGAATAAAAAGAAAAGAGTACTTGGTTATATAATATAATGTTTTCTGGTCTGTGTGCGTTTGTTAGTGTTTGCATTGTGTCCCTCTATGTTTATGCTATTTGTGGAATAAGGAAAGATGTTTGAAAAGGAGTTTATCTATGACTTTTCCTTTTTCAATGGGTTACAACAACATCTAATTTTTTTCTTCCGTGTAAGAGAAAAGAAAGGGTGGTTTTTGATGTAAAAAATAAGTATAATCCAAATGGGTTTTTTCTCAAAGCCGAGTTTAAAGGCTGGTAACTTTGTATTTATACTGTATTTAAGTATTGTATAGTGGCGATAAAGGCAAACTAATTTTTCTGCAAATAGTGTGCAGATTTCTATTCAGTGTCATTTATTTTGACCGTAATTCTTTCCCAAAGATTCTGCTAAAAACTTTTTGCCAACAAAACTAAGAGGTTTTTTTCTGTTTTGCCATTATTTCTTTCTATTTTCTATATGACCGCACAATAAATAATAGTTGGTTTTTTTTTTCTTTTGAATGCACGAAAGGTGATAATTGAATGTGGAGAGAGAACTATTATTATTGTTGGTGTTGTTAAGTCGTAATGTTTCCCCCGAAGAAGTAGGATGTGCATCATTTTCACTTATAAAGTACACTACACACACCTTCAGAAGTTTATTGCTTATCTCCTGTGTTCAGTTTTTTTGGGATTTCTGTTTCCTTTTTTATGTGCGTATTTCTGATTTTAGTTGTAGAGAAGATCTCTGTGGTGGCAGCGTTGTTCGATATTAGCGGAGGGGAAATATATGATTGAGAGAGTAGGATTAAGATTAAAGTGAAGTACAGGAAATAGCTTGGACCAGTATCACTGTGAGGGCAGTGTAAATGATCTTAGAAGTGTGGTCTTTTCAACGCCCTGTCAAATTTCGAGTGATAGAGAACAGCTGAAAACTGCAAAACGACAAGTTTCTAGAGGAAAAAAAGACACATAAACAAGACCAGATGATTAACCAGATATCAAAGTGAGAAACTTACTTGGTTGGCATTTGTAAAAGATATTTCCAGTTAGATTACTAGCTGTTTTCTGTGTGCATTGTTTTGCACAGCTAAAACGGACGGCTAGAATCAGTTTCAAATTGTTAGCTGAAGAGGTAGGAAGGTGGTTTTTGTTTGAAACAAGATCGAGAAGTGCATTTTAGGTTAGATAAAACAAGTTTTGTTTACATTAGATTACTAGCTATCTTCTTCTGAACCCACATTCACATCCAAATTGCCTTCCGCTGAAGACTGCAACCATGTTTTATCTTTAACTTCTTTTTTTTGAGACTAATTCTACACAATAATTACTGTAACGACAACGAGTTGTTGGGTTTTTTCAAAAGTACGTTTCTGCGGCTGTAGCTCGCTGAGTCATTGTACTAATTTCAATATTTATTGTGTAGGAGAGCGATTGTTTGTTTTCTCTGAATTGAGTCTCAATTCTTCGATTAAGGAGGAAGGGCGGAGGTTGCATCTTCTCTGTGGTTTAGCAGAGTAAATCCTGCGTATCTGACGAGAAAAAAAGTATGTTGGTATTTCTGAGAGACTCACTTCTAAATGTAAACCTCAGTTCCACTAGGAATTGATTTATGGTAATAAAATAGATTAAGTTTTATCAAATCTAGCGGTAGTCTCATGAAATTGCACGCAGAACAGTGCAGTTCAAGGTCTTGACCATTCTTTTGGAGTGAATATACCGTCTGTTTGTTCTGTATCTGCAGTAGTGTGCAAAAGGGTCTTTTGCTGCGCTTTGCTGTTGAAAGCCAAAATGAGCTGTTTTCAAGGCTTAGGTTGCGAGGGAAAGTTTGAGTTTGATAAGAATCAGTGGAGTTAGCAACAACAAGGGCGATAGTTTACAGTGAGATGATTCTTCTTATTGGCGCTCGCTTGGTTGCCTGTTAAGAACTGAATGAACATCTAACAGGTGCTGGTGTTACTTTTCAGCGGAATATTTGTATATTTGAACAAACGTGTCATTAAAAAACGTAAGTAGTGAGGGTTTTTTTCTTTTATTTATTTATTTTTTCTGAATGGTATTGCTTAGCACTGTTGGAAGAACAAATTTACATAGGTTTGAAAAAACCGTAATTTTTAACGGCACTTATTTTTTATTGGCTCTTACTATGCTTAAATATACAATATGTGTATTCTTAAATAATAAACGGATATTATGCACTTATCTAATGATAGGTTTTATTTGGAGTTTGATCTTGAATAGATAGCTTTTTTACCCATTAAAAATACTAAAAATGATTTTACAGTTACAGTGGATGCTTTTTGTCTCGTTTAATTTGAACGTTTAAGAGAGAGGGGTAAAGAGCGAAAGCATCATTTTATTTACTTATTCTTTTAAAGGATATTT